AAAGTATAACAAAATTAAACACGTAAGCCGAACTGAAAAAAATGAAAGGGTTCCGTCATTCTTAAGCCCACGAACAGGTTTCTTCCAAACTGACTCTAAGGTCATGTACGATCATTCAATGGCGCGATCGAATCGTGTGTAATGTAAACACACACGTCGTAGCTCGTAGACCGTATCCACTGAGGGTGCCGAAATAATCACAAAAAATTGTATACGGCTTTATCCAGTCTTTATCACACGGCACACGGAGATAGTGTAACTTGAGCCTTGGGATTAGGCCATCGGCTTGAACTGATATTGGTACTGATTTATGCTATAAAACGGAATAGTATGCTACGATGATTTAGTTTTAACTATCAAATTCCAAAACAAACCTTTTTTTGTCAATTTTTAAATGATTCTCGAACTCTAGTGAATAAAAATCAAGGCCAGTTATTTTTTACTATGGGCCCCTATGAGTCATCAGGGCCTTTGTTATGCATTCACGATTATACGTGGCTGGTTATTTGTTAGTATAACCTTGGACTACCGAACGTTCTATTTGTATGACTCATTCAAGTTATCAAGTAGTTGGTCTGTTGCGTATCATTATTAAATCTCCACTGCGGTTGCCCTCATAAGACTTGCAGTTGTAATCCGTGAGATTACGAAGATCGTCACGCCCATCGCCGTCTTTCTAATCTTTGTTTTTTAATTGAATCGAATTAAAAATTTTACTTTTTTGCTTCGCTGTTGCTCTTAAGGTTCACATGGGTAGTCATAACGGTGAATATACGTGTATTCTTTCAGTAACATAAAGATGCATCAGTCACGTTTTTCATGCTGGCGTGGTATAAGAGTCGTATATCGATCTCTCTCTTTGGGCATTCGCTAGCTGCAACATGTGCTACCAACTGTTTACCAGCAGAAATGAGGCACTATACACGTACTTGAATAACACAACCTTATGGCAAACAACGTATCTCACTTACCTTGAAGATATACAAGAGAGTTGTTGTTAAAAAGCAAGTTGTTAAAAAAAGTGACCCAATTCTTGGCCGTGCCGCTCTACAAGGGGTCCGATTCAGGAGACCGCAAAAACACCTCTGGGGTGAAGTGCATGCAGCGTATCTATGAGAAAGGGGAATCCCCTCCAACTAAGTTTAAAAAAACAGATGTTTGTTCCACGAAAGGACTTAGACATAACAATTACACTCAAAATATTAGTGCACTTCGTTCCATTACAAATCCACTTAAAAAAAAAGACCAAAGATTCTTATTTACGTTAACAACTGCTATTTTAGATCTAACTAGGGCCTTATAAAAGGATTAGGCGTTAACAAACGCAGAGTTTTTAGCACTAACACCCATTTAACCACATAAATCACAAATTAACCAGCACTACCAGAGCAGATGAATGTTAGTGCTAGGCATCGCTTCATTGCTTTTTATGAATGATTACAAAACTGCCCAACTACAAGTTGAGATTAATTTTACATTAAAAACTATTTTGTTGAAGCTGACCTCATCTTTGCTGGACTGACGTACATGAGGGAAAGATATCTGGTTAATAATATATTATTTCAAGGAGGACAATATTCGAGTTTGTCTTAAATAGTGCCGTTATGAAATTCTGTTTTTTTATTTATTTATTTTTGTATCAATAAAAGGAGATGCTTCTTTGCTCTGCTCAATTCCACTCTACTCTGTGTATACTTTACTTTATTTGCTTTACTCAGCAACACCGGACCATACCAGTCCGTAGACATCAGTACGATGCATCGTATAGTAGCTGCTATATTTTTGCTGTCTGCATAAAAAGCATAAACATTAAAAATACAATAAAATAATTAACTAATTATACAGTCCATCAATAAAATTTTCTCTCTCGGTTTTTTGTCTGTGATGAACTGTAGGTAGTTAATCAATGAGTTTTTTAAAAAAACTTTTTTTCACATTTTAGTAGAACTATATTTTCCCTGGATGACATGCTTCTATCATATCACCATGAACGAATTAAATGAGTATACGACCGCATTCAGAACAGTGAACTCACTAGTCCGAGGGTCAAATATGGCTGACCCACTTGAATACTTCCCACGGGGAATCTATTCAGTGTCTATAAGGGGACTAGACGGCAAGCTTTGTAGTGGGTGGCCATATTTGACCCTCAGACTGGTAGGTCCACTGTTCTGAATGCGGTCTACATGTATGTCGTGACATGATAAAATACACATACGGTATAAGGTGCCCAAGTGCTGAAGTTCACAGTCATTTTTGACAAGCTGTTCTAACTGAGCATTTTAACTGCGGATTAAAAAATGTTTCGACAATGTTTTTTGATCGTCGTTGTCATGATATTGCAGGAACACGCACTGCTGAAAGGTAGAGTTCAACTGTTGCTTTGTATTCTAAAGACTCAGAATTACGTGGGGGAAACATTTCCTTTCAATGTAGTAATGCACGTAAGTAATGCAAATTTTTAAGGGAAGTACGTCCTTGCACAGTAGTCCTATCACAGTAAATGTAGACTACTTGTCTTGTTTTTAAAAGCGAATAATAAATTGATTTGAGATTCGCGTACGTTTGTGAATGTTTTACTTCACTTATGCGTGCTGACTATTGCCAATCAATACCATTCTGATACAGTTTACTACGTATTTATTACAGGCGCTAGTATAAGTTCTGGTTATACATGCCGTCATGGCTTTATCAGGCTTAATGAAGGCTGTTATCTATTTGAGAACACTCACCCTGCTACCTGGACAGAAGCACAAAATTATTGCCTGAATTTTGGTGCTAAACTTGTGAGCGTAGAGTCTGCTGAGGAACATAGAGCTATCAGGTCGCATATTATGAAGTATTCAAGTAAGTTCTCTGGGATTCCGATTTCACTATTAGCATCTTTATCAAATAACGACGCTAAAATGCACGGCAATTATCATAAAAACGCGTTTTTGGTGGATATGAAAGCACCACAGGCACATAAATGCAGTTGTATGCTATGGAAGTGACATCTCGTTTCTAGTTACAATATATATATATTTTCATGTATATATAGGGCCTATTCTGTAAGGGTGAGGTAAATATTTAAAAAAAATCTTTAACATGTATCCTTTTATGGTGAGCACAAATTTTACTACTGTGTATTTCTACAGCAATTAATTACGACAGCAAGTTAATGGTTTTCAAAATAACAAATAAAACGACCGAAGAGTTTCATCAACGACAGTTAAAGGTACCATAGTGTGTAAGGTATCTTTTCATGTTTTGGGGTTGCAGAATCTTAATACTGCCGTTGTAACATTTCCTAAAAAGTTATCATTTACCCTACTTTGTTTTCACATCTAGGCTACATAGCTATCATGTCCCTAGCATCGGCATGTATGTGTGCCATTTCAGGTGCCTTTCCATTGAAAGGTTTGTGGACCAGTGGTAACGACATCGTGCACCACGGCCGCTGGGAATGGGCGTCTACACTGACACCTATCGGACCGTTTACTGCCTGGGGGACAGGAGAACCAAGCAAGCCTGATCCCAGATATCCAGAACAGCACTGTTTACAGTACTTTACATACGCTCACTATGTGTACCAATGGGATAATTTCGATTGCAGCAAGAAAATGCATTTTATCTGTGAGCAGGGTGCGGAGCCATCCGTCATTGGACTTTAAAGTGGCCAAAAAGAGCTAATCCTTAATTTTTCCTATAAGGCTTTTGCGCCCCAAATCTAATTTGCCTAAAAAAGCGAATTTCTCTTCCTCACAAATTGTTGCACTTGAATTTGATGTCCCTTACCATTTCTCTTTACCGGTAGAAAACTTTGTTCTAGGCGAATCGTGATCAAATCAGAACATCTTAGTCCTCCTGGTATTTCAGAGGGGAAATACCGACTCATTTTAAGGGGGGGGGGTTTACCTTTTCTTGGGACTCAATTGTGAAGGAGGTGTAACTTTTCAGGATATTTAGACACAAAAATATGACTTTTCGGAATAAACAAATCCAATAGATCTTGTGTCTTGGTTGTTTTCTGAGGGTCCATTTCTTTATTAAATTAAAAACTCTCATGTGATAAGATACAACTTTAAAACATCGTGGAAATAAACACTTTATAACACGGGGACACCCATTTCCCGGACACGCACGCGCTAACAAGAACAAAAAAAAAAAAAAAAAACAAAGAAAATAGTTGCACACAAAAATGTTAAGCAAATTTTTCATCACTGTGCCCCACATTCATGTATTATGGTATAAATATTGAACAATGTTTTTAATTCGAATTGCATCTTTCTTTGAAATCCCTGTGTAGAAGTACGTCTGTTACGTCTTTAATATGCAAGCGCCAGCTCGATATAAATGAATTTGCATGGGCAAATAGCCATCAACTGGCCATCAACTTGTTTCAGTGTAACGTATTATTCCATGGAAATCTGCCCAGATTGCTTAGTCTTTCTTACGTTTTAGTTTCTCCTCTGATTAGTTTAATATATCCCTTTTCTTGTTTATTTTGGTAGTTCTGTTTCACAATTGCCGCGTGTACTTGGTGTACTTGGACCCTATATGTATCAGCAGCGAAGGAATATGGTTTATTTGTTCGACTTTAAAAGATAATAAAATATATTTGGCGTAAGTCTTCACATTTGATAATACATCAATTATATTTTAAGATTATTTTTATTTTCTTTATTTTTGTTATTAGAAGTATTTTTTTTCGGGGGGGGGGGCATCTGTTCCTTTTTCTGTAATAAATTGTGATAGATAAGCATCATATTGTGAACCTTTTAACTCAAGAACAAAGAACACTACTGACAAATATAGGCAAATAACTTATTTAGATGTTTGCTTTTGAAACAGTATTCAGTATTATTTTAAGATGTTGAGCATAACGAGACAAATGTCTCAATAAAACATGCAAGTCACCCTCCTGGCCTACACCTTCTAAAGCCCTGCTTTAAAGTCACCT